CTGTCAAAAGTTTCAGGTGAGAGCCCTGATGTTTACAAGTCGTTTTTTAATGCCACAAACGTTTTGGAAAAAGTGACCCAGAGCATTGAGAATGACCTTAATCAAAGTTATAGCTCAGCATTACACAAAGACAAAACCTTAGCTTGACTAGTAAGCTAACCAATTGAATAGTTAAAGAGAAAAATCCACAGTTATTAACTAGCTAGCTAGTTAGCTATTACAGGCTACACTCAACCAGTTGGATTACACTGTCAAGGACATTCAGGGACTTTCCTAACTTGCGGAAGGTTGCCTTTGTCTTGCTGTTTTTTCTCCTTTTCCTCATTTTTTTTCCTCTTTTTTTTTCCTGCTCCAGAGGGATAGGTCCTTGACATTACGGCCTAGACATCTGTAATTTAGCAAAATAATAAAAATATGTAAAAAAAATAACTATTTTTAAAAAAGATAATTTCCATTTTTCTAGCCGTTAGATTCATAATTTTGCTTTCAGTGAACAACAGATATCTGTAAAATAACATCTTCTCCTAAAAATAGTCAAATTATTTGGTCAAATGCTGTAAAAAAGACAAACAAACAAACAAAACAGTCAACATAGAAGTTAGGACTTTTTCTCTGTGATTTTAATAGTGATTATTTGCAGTTCAACAAATCAGGAAAAAGTCTGTATAATAACAGTAAATTGTTCCAAAAACTACATAAACATATATACATTTTAAACGTCATTGTTCCTACATTTCCCATAATGCAATTCAGAAGCATCACTTGATTCTCCAACCTGATAAACGAATACATCTGACTCATTTCAGAGGCTGATTACTGAACGTGGAATCAATTAAAAGTTTGTGCATTTGAAAGGATGTTGGATGAAGTTCGGTGCAGTTTTGTGTGTTTCTGTTCAGAGTTTGTGTGTCTGTTGTGTCGACGCTGCCTTGTGTGTCTCAGGTGATGCTGTCAGTGTGCGTTCGTTGCGCCCGTTTATTCGTGTTAACCGGCTGTCGCGTCCGTTTCCTCGGAGCTGACGAGCGTTAAGATCCGATTTAATCTGCTGTTTTTCTCCGTTAGATCAGGAATACCAGCGACTGAAGGTGGGGATGGAAACGCTGCTGGCCTCCAACGACGAAAAGGTACATTTTTAAAATCATTTTCTCCTAAATTTCAACTTAAAAGCTGCTTTTTCTTAAAAATATTGATTCACAAAAATCTTAAAGTGCATCTTCACACTCAGCTCGCCGTGAATTAAAAAAAAAAATAAGCCGAAACGTGAGTGACTGGCTCTAAAAATGGAAAGAGTTTCTTTCAAATAACA